CCCTCTGGTGAGTTTCCGAGGCTCTGACGGCCAGTTCCTCTTACCTGACACGTGTCACATGTTGTTTGGTAGTGCCATGTGTCCTTTGAACTTGAATCACAGGCATTTGGTAGAATTTTGCCAGCCCCTGATCAAATATTGCTCAGAAGAGACTCTTGAGGAATGCAGCCCACGCTCGTGGGGCTGGCTCCCCCTGGTTTTATTCCTGTTCTCGGCAGCCTTCAGAAAGCAGGATACCTGGAGCGTATTATCTCGGCCGCTCACATAAACACTTCAATGAATTGTGATTTAATGTCAGGCCTCTCACTTTTATAGAGGGTCGGTATAAGACTCATCTGGTTGCACAACATTTTGGTTTATTTTGTAAAACTGCAGTTGAAGACATCGTTCACGATGCCACTCAGTGTCCTTACAAAGATCCACATGATAAATTCCGGTTTGGGTTTGGTTCCAGGAAGAAATTCTATTTTTCTCAGATAAATTGGTTAGCATGCTTCCTGTTGCCAGAAAAGAAAACTGTAACTCAGGTGCTTCACTTTCTGCTTAGTGGCTAGATAAGGAGTCAAATTTATCACCTGTGTGTTATAATCTGCTCAGTTATGGGGTCCAAAAGCACTTAGTACTACTTCTTTTAATGGACTTATTTTATTTTATGTTCAAATGTTTCATTATACCTTTGCAAGATGTGTGAGTCTGGAAGTCATCTGGAGAAGCACTGATTGGGCCTATTTATTGCCTGGGCTGGCTGCTAGGGGTACAAAGATTCATTTGACTGCACCCAGCCTTCTAGAAGCTCACATTTCAGCATGGAGAATAGCTGGCTGGTGCTCTAACAGAGGTGCGTGGGGCTGGAGAACAAGGCAGACTTAGGGACAAGGGCCCAGGGGAGGAGTCATGGAGAAGGTCAAGGCTGAACTGGTTTTGGGACAGCAGTGGGAAGACGACACTGCATGGCACAATATGTACACATCTAAGCCTGAAATTAGAGGTATCTTTTTATGCACGCAGCACCTCATGCTGGCTAGAGTGGAAACCCTTGGAGGGCAGGCATCAAATCTCTGTGCCTTTGTGGACCCTGCTTTGCCCGCCTGACGCAGGGCTGAGGGTGGGGCTGCGGGTTGGAGTTCGGGGTCAGGAGCCAAGCCGCCTGTATTTGCATTCTTAACTGAACAACTCGAGGCAGATTCACATAACCCCTTTGGGCTTTAATGTAAACTGAGGATAATAGTAATATCTACTCATGGGGATTTTAGGAATGTTACAAAAGAAAATACATAAGTGAAGAGCTTAGAATCATGCCTCGCGTGTGGTAGAGTACTCAGAAAACTTTTGCTGATTGCGTTATTGACAATACTATACCACTGAGGGTAACCAGGGCAACAAAGTGGGAAAAACACACTGAATTCAACTCAGCTAGCTGAATCTAGTTCAAGTAGTATCACTCCCAAATGATGCTTAATTTAAAAATAACATTGTTGCCTGGGTCAGCCTGGCTCAGTTGGTTGGAGTGTTTTCCCATAAACTGAAAGTTTGCAGGTTCGATTCCTGGTCAGGGCACGCACCTAGATTGCAGGTTTGGTCCCTGGGCAGGGGTGCATATGAGGCAACCAATCAATGTGTCTCTCTCACATTGATGTTTCTCTCCCTCTTTTGCTATCTCTTTCTTTCCCTCTCTCTTTAAAATCAATAAGCCTGTCCTTGGGTTAGGATAAACAACAACAACAACAACAACAACAAAAAACATTATTTTATTGTTTTCTGAAATACCATATGGGAGCAGGCCCTGCTCTAAGTCGACTAGTGACTTTTGGTGGTTAATTATATTCTTAGAACTGGTCACTTATGTGTCTCTTACAGGATGCCCTCCAACTCCAGCTGCTACATCCAGGGGGCTTCCTGGACCCAGAGCTTCACCTGCTCCACTTCTGCCCACTAGCTTTGGAAAGGACCAGGGTTCATGGGTAGTCGGTCCATGCGAGAGAGCTGTCACATGGATTTCCAGCCAGGAAGGGAGTAGGAGTCATTTTCAGAGCGCAGACACGTGTGCACAAACTGACCTCTCAAAGGAGCTTTCTGTGTGCCAGTGGCGTGATGCTAAATGCTTAACAAGGGGCTACTTAGGGAAAAGGGCCTCGATTTACAACATTTGCCAGTTCCCTGGTGTACACACTCCCACCCCATGACTCCCAGCTGCCCGTGTGATGTCCTGCATGCAGGTCAACAAGATGTGCACAGGAGTCACGTCGGATCGTGTTTCAGTGACACAGACGCAGCTCGTGTCAAGGATCTCAAGAGCAGAGGTAATAGTAAAATGCAGTAAATTAATTAGGAAGTGATGAACCTTGAGTATCTGTCACCTTTGTTTTTAATGTACTTTATTTAACTGTATATAATTAATTTTAACAACACTGGGTTTAATCACGGCTCCCAAATTCCTGAAATGGTAACAGTTGCTCTTCCTGCACGACGGAGCACCTCTGGAGCATCGCTGGGCCCGCCCCCCTGCACCAGTGTGCACCCCTCCCACACGGCGCCTCTCTGTTCCCTGAGCTGTGCGCCTGTGAGACACGAGACTGCCTTACCCGCGTTTCCTCGGGTGTGTGTCTACTCACCCACACAGAGCTCTATTCTTGTGCAAAATAGGTGAGAAAACATCTGCTCAGACTTGCTCGCTCGTTACCTCCCACCCCCCAGACAGCCAACGGTCATCTACGCTTTCATGGGAACCTAGGAACACGGCGGCAAAGAAGAAACAATACCAACGGGAATACTTAAAATGGAGAATGAGGGAGAAGAGAGGAGGAGAAGACGCAACAACAGAGAGAAGGGAACACAAGACTCACAGAGCCAGCGAGCGGGAGGGCAGGAGAAGCCCCGCCCTGCCCCAGCATGTCCGGTGGGGTCTAGCCCCGCTCAGCGTGGGGCTGAAGGGTGAGGCGGAGGCGGGGGCGGCTCTGTGAACAGTCCGCTGCACTGGGAGGTTTCTCTCAATGAGAAGAACTCTTTTCTGAGCTGTGGTCACCTGGGACCGTGAACACTGGTAGCTCCAAGTCTCCATCGCATAGCTCTTAAGGAGTTTGGTCAGCTACATGGTGTTCGCTCCCAAAATGGCAGCTGGGCGACATTAACAAATCTTCTCTAAATTGGAATAGTATGCTTTAAAAATAAATAGGTATTTCACATGCACTTAAGTAGACTTCCAGCCCAAATGCTTTCTGTCTGAAGTGGGCTGGTTACTTCGGGCAGAGCTGGGCCCTCTGGCCCTGACACCTGCTGCAATTTGGAAGAAGGCTCCCAGGAATGAGTGGAGGAATTACCGAGAGGGGGATGGTTGAAGACAGACAGCAGTTTCCCGGGGAACCCAGGAGGGCCAGACACTGGGGCGGGACAGGGAGGATGGAGCACCTCTTGCCCTGAAGGCCACAGAAAAGGCTCCCTAGGCCCTGGATAAAATTACCCCTGGAGTTATATGAGTGGTACCTTCCACCTCATTGTTTCTACTCAGCCAGGGTCATAAAGATTGGAGAAGACACCAGATGGCAGCCTTTAAATGAAGTGCCCAGTGGCAGCCCTTAGGGATGACTTCCCATTCAGCGACCTACCCAGGAGGCCCAAAGGTCACCTTGACACAGCTCCCCAGCAGAGGTCATTGTGCCCTTCCTAAGTCTAGCCCTACAAGTTAGAGTCCCGGTGAATCCCTGGCTCCTTGTTGAGGAAGGCACTTGGCAGAATCTTGGCAGAATCCATGGGAGGGCAAGCCTGGCACACTGACGTGAGCCCTCAGTCCTGAGGCCAACAGGGGGAAGCTCAAGCTCAGGTCAGCGGCCTTGGGCTTTGCTTCTTTATTCCTGATAAAATCAGTAGGTATTGATAGGATCTGTATTATTACTGAAACTAAACAACAAACCTTCCTTATTATCCAGATTACTAGGGTCAAGTGGGTCATCCTCATGACATTGAGGCTGTCCTGCATTTCTCCCCTAGAAGTCCTGAGTGCTGGCTTCTCCAAATACAGGTCACTCCAGGACCAGGCCATCTCTAGAGGAGCTCTTTGTTTGAATACACAAATTGCTTATTTAGTAAAAGCTGTTTGCATCCTTGGTCCCAGGCTCACTGGAGAGAAGCAAGCTGGTCCTGCCCAGATGCCTGCTCCATCAGCCTCCCTGGGAGCTGCATGCTCCTCCCAGCTCACTTCCTGGGGTTACAAATCAAAAGGGGGCATTTTCTGCAGATGTCCCTGCTTAACACATTGTTTGTGCGTAGTTTTTATCACGTGCTCTACTACCAGTCCATGTAAAACATATAAATATGTTTCCTGCATACAATGTGTTAAAAGATGCCAAGGGCCTTTTAGAATATCACCATGTTTGTTTAGCGTTTGCATTATTAGTGTACTGAAGTGTGTCCACCAGTGCTGTGTAACCACAGACTGTGTAACCAGTGGCATAGACTCAGAGAACTGGGTTCGAATCCTAGTTTCACACTTAGTAGCCATGTGACCTGCAAGCCAGTGAATCGTTCTCACATGGAAAATGCACTTACCTTTCAGAACAGTGGTGAGGATGAAAGAAGACAGGGCACATAAAGTGCGCACAGAGGTGGCTCAGCAAATGGAAGCTGTTTTCCCCACCAGTTGTTACTGTTAGGAGGGGCTCTAGATTAGTTAGTAGTGGCTATAGAAAGCTCAGAGTGGGACCCTGAGGGGCTGGGTCATAGGGGGTGAATTTAGTCTGGGGTGTGGGGTGGACAAGGTCAAGAGGATGAGGCAGCAGCTGGGAGGGTGGGTGCCAGGTGTGACAGCCGTGAGCAAGCACACAGGTGGGGGAAACTGGTCCCAGAGGGGAGGGGCATCCGCAGACAGCTGCACTCCACAGCAGACCTTCCTTCCTTCACCTTTCCTAAGCTTTGGATGGGTTATGTTTTAGCTGAATGTGGGTTTTCAGGACAGGCTAGCTTGTATTACCTTCACCTTCCTCCTATAGGACCCACTTTGTACCCACCTAGAGCTACTTGCTGCAGATGCCGCTGGGTGATTTCTTCCTTCAGGTGACCTGTCAAAGACACAAAGGAAAACACTAGTGAGTTTGCAGTGGTCTGGAAGAAGAGCTGGCCTCAGAAACGTGTGGCAAGCTAAAAGAAAATATAGGGGAAGTATGAGAGACAAGCAGGCACAGTCTCCAAGAAGAGCCCTTCTATGCTCTGAATTTTGTTGAAAGAAGAGGCTGCAAAGGCTGGGGCCCTGGCACATCATTGCCAATACATTTCACCTTTGGAGTCTATCATTGGAGTCTATCGGACAGAGAGTTATCTTAGTCTATCACTGATAATTTTTGTTAGGGCTCTGATCTCTTAAATAGGGATGGAGGGTTTGATGTTTTATAATGCATAGGGCCACTTTTAAATTCACTCATTATTTTAAGCTATATGAAACTGTGTCAAATAAGAAAGATGGTTTTGATTTGTCATAATCTTAAGATAAACACAACGTTTGACCATTTGGTATGAAACACATATAATTTTAGGTTGTATTAATAAAGGTATAGCGTGTAGATCAAAGGAGGTGATAACTCCACTGCACTCTGCAGTGATCAGACCACAGTTGGTATTTGTTTTAGAAGCTACTTTTTATAAGGAATATTAGTAATATAAAAATATTTAGAAGATGGTAACTGGAATGGTGAGGAGTCTGAAACTATGCCATATGAGAAATATCTGAGGTAACCTGAGACATTTAGGTGGGGAATAAAACATGTGGAGGGAGAGGGGTTATGAAGATAATGGCTGTCTTAGGAAATCTAAACATTGTCATATGACTGAGGAAACATTTATTTTTGTCCTACTGCTGAGGGCAAAGGCAAATTGAATGAAGGCAGACTTGGGGCTCAGTATGAGGAAGAAATAGTTCATAATGAGGACTGTCTCAACATGGATTATGTTGTCTCAAAATTGATCAATTTCCTGGCAAAGCAGTGAGCCCCATCCTGAAGGTGCTCAGGGAAAAGCTGGGTGACCATGTGTTGGGTTGTTTGAGTGAGAATTCCTGCCCTGGGGAAGAGTTGGGATGAAATGGCCCCCAAGTTTCCTCCATCTCTGAAACTCTAGGATTTTGTGCTTGAGAATGGGTGAAACAGCAGCCCTGGGGGTTGTTTATCTCCAAGGGCTCAGCATGCTTGCTAACGTGTCAGTTCTGTCCACATTACATTTGGGAGATGTGATCAGGCCCCTGGGGATTCCAAGAAAGCCTGGGAACTTCACTGCTCCCTTGTCTAATATACAGGGTCTGGCACAAATAACGCCCCTTTTTATTACATAAAAATCTTTCATTACAAAATCATAAGCATGTAATTCTGTAACAACAATATCACACTCAAAGACACCACATGACATTCTAGGTGAAATGTTCACATTGCTGTCCATCTTGTGTAAGACATTCACTCACCCTACCGACCACGCTCAATGGCATCACCTCTGCCAGATCCTGTGTTCCTTTCTCCACACAAAGTGCGTTCTACACCTCAGGGGCTACAGCTGAACTGAGATTTCAAAAGTTGTCTACAGCTGAAGTGAGGAGGCAATAAGGCAGTAACATGAGACCTTGTCGCTCACCCAAAGTTCTAGGGCACTTCTGGAATGTCATGATTGGAGGATGGCAGGGACAGCAGAGGTCAGTCAGTTTAGCTTCCCACCCAATTTAGGAATCTCTTCTACAGAATGAAATGGTCATTTCATGTGTCCTGCCTGCTCCACCGATTAAATTGCATATAAGCAATTGCTGATGTGTCGGCACCTGCTTCCTTGTCACTTTCCAATTTGGGTCTAGTCTGTTCTCTGGAGGAGCACAAAAGAAGGACCCTCTCATTGGCAGTGAGAGCCCTTCATATGTCTCAGGATGCTACGAATTCTCCACTTAGACCTGTCCTTTCTGGGTTAACATCATCAGTTCCTTCAGCTCCCCCTCGGAGGTGGCTGTTTTCAGGTGTGTCTCTGTGCCTTGTCTTCCTGTATCCCCCACTGGAGAGGATTGTGCACAGAGAGGAAGCCAAGGATTGGGTAGGAGCAGTGACTGCATCCTAATTCCAAGTAGGGAGGGTGGGACTCAGGGGATGATGTGTTGAGAGGGAGTTGGGGATGTGGTCACCTGGCCCAAGGATAAGTGCTGGGAGGGTCTGGAGCCAACAGGAACATGACCTGAAGCACAGGCTGGCCCCAGCCCCAGCCCCAGGTGGGATCTTCTCCTTGCTCTGAGCAACATGGCCATTATTGTCTTCATCAGCAGAGTGAAGAGGCTGGGGTAGGGGTGCTGCTGGGCTGAGACTTCTGTCTGCATTAAATATCACTGACTTGAATTTTTAAAAAGCACGGCACACATGCTCTTCAAATAAAAAGATACAGTGATGTGACAAAGGCAACACACCACTTAGACATGTCCCTTTATTTAGAGCAGGCCACTGAGGCCTTTCTCATGCCCACAGTCTGGAGAGCCAATGCCACACGGGACCTGGCCCATTTCCTGGGGATCTGGCCCAGGTGCCTTACAGCGGAGCCTCCTGTGTGCCTGGGTTTCTCCTTCCCCATGACACTGACACTGACCTGCTGCTGTGGAGCCGCCTTGACAACCTGCCTTCCAGACCATGGCCTCCCTGACACAGGTCTCCCCAGCTCACACATTGCCCCCAGGAGGTGCTCAGCCTTGTAGGTGTGACCTGCCTGCCTCTGTTGGAATGACCAGGCTCCCTCTGCCAAACCCTGGGGAAGCTCTTTTGGAATGACAGGGTTAAGGGCTCTCACAGCCTCCAGCCTGGGAATGTAAATACAGATGGGATTTTGCTACCAGGACTGAAAGTTCTACAAACTCCCCAAACATACCACCTACTCTCAGAACAATGAGCTAGTTCTAGGAGACAAAAGGTCTGTCTTTATAACGTTCCATATAGTTAAAGGTAAGTTTAAAATGTGTTTAATGATGCTCTCTTTTGGCGAATTGGCTAACATCTCTCACCACAGGGCAATTTTTGTTTCTGAGATCTTCCTAAACAAGCTTCTAAAAATAGCCTTATGGCTGATGCCTAACTGCATTTTCCAACAGAGCCATTCTTCATGTGAAGATAAGTCTCTGCAATCTGCTGGATCTTCCAGCTCCACAGGTTTTGGCAAAGGAAGGAGTTGAGGGGACAGCAGAAGTCGCTCAGCATGCAGCGTGCTGTCATCAGCATGGAGATACATTTTGCTGGTTTTGGCCTTGTTCCTGGACACATCCCCACCCCGAGGTATGGTGAAGAGACAAAATGGACACAGAACTCCGGGCCAGAGGCAGGAGGTGGTCTGGGAGGGAAACCGGGGTGGGGAGGAGAGCTGGCTTGTAGGAGAAGAGTAATAGTAATTTTGTCTGCAGTGATTTATGACAGCACATGCCAGAAACATGTCTCCCTTTTGATTCATTAATTGACAGGGTGGGGGTGGCAGCAGCAGGTAATGGGGTGGTGTATCATCTATGCTAGTTCGTTACCCCTTGATCCTCCCCAGAGTCTTGAGATGTAGTAAAGCTGATATTATCACATGTGATGTGGGGGAAGGTCCAGAGGAGACACAGGACTTAGGAGTAGCCATGTGCAGGTGAGTGCACTGCATGGTATGTGTGCTACTCTGTACCAAGGAGCGCACACGAGAAGTAATATCACCAAGCAGAAGCAGCACTTATTTTTTACATCAATATTCACTCTTCTGGATCAAACAATTTTCCTCAGCTTCATGCTTTATTCTGCATGCATGTTAGTTTGGAATCATTCACCAAGCAAAGCTGCTCAGCTGGTGCAGAGCAAAGCTATTCACTTACAACGCCCACGCAGGGCTGTTGCAGGCTGTCGGAGCAGCTTCTCTGCTGTGGCGCCTTCCTGAGCGTGTCAACGTACCTATAAGTAGTAATATTTATGCCCATCCGCTATGTGTTAAGCACTATGTTCGAAGTGCTGTGGAATATACAGACTGGTAGTAGATTCTATCCTAGCTCAAGAAAGTTCGCATGATACAGGGGACACTAAACAGGTGGTCGTGTGCTCTTCCTTTTAAAGCTGGACCCATGGCTGACCTTGCTCCTTCATCGTGGATGGCTCCCTCTCCTGCTGAGCCTGTTTGTCTTTTCAACACAGCACTTTTGGGCATTTACAACCAATCACTTGGAATTGGACTTGAGGTGAATCAAACCTCTTTGCCATTTTGGTTATAGTAGAAAGTAATTACAAATTTGTTGATAGAAAAAGTTCAGCTCAAATCCCAATTCTGCTGCTTCCTATTTGGGTAGGTTACTTAACATCTCTAAGCCCAAATGTTATCATTTGAAAACTGAGAACAGTAATATAACTGTGATAATATCTGCCTTATTGTACCTCAATATTCTTGGGAGAATCAAGAGATAACGTACCAGCACAGATGATATGCCTCACAAGTTTTAGGTACCAAGGCCCTTTCAGACATTGGAAGGATACTATACACATAAGATGACAGGTCCTGCAGGCCAGGTGGCTAAATGTCACGTCAATGGTGGAGAGAAGTTTAGAGGAGGGAAAGGTGGGTTAGTGGCGTATAGAAAGCCATAATTACTAAATGTGAAACTTGAGCAGATCCTCAAAAGAGCAGAGGTGTTAAGGTGGGGTTGGGAAAGTCATTCCAAGCCAAAGAAGACTATTGGGCAATAGGGTGGAGAAGGCCAGGTATACATTGGTTTGGGGCAGGAGTTAGAAGGGAGGGCTGGACTGAAGGACTAGGGCTGGGGGGTAGTGGGGTGGGACCGAGTGCTATTTGTACTAGAGGCCAGGTCCTAGGTGATCACTAAAACCTCTGGTCAAATCTGTTCTTCTCTTAGGGTGAGGGTTAGAAAAAACAAAACAAAGCTGAAAAACAAAACAAAAAAGAGAAAAAGTCTGTTCTGTTCAGCTATCCTACTGCAGTATTCCAGTAAAATCAACATAGGATGAACATCAGTAGCAGAACTGGGGAAGGGGAGAATACACAGAATACGTCTGCTGTCTGAGGGCCTCTTTGAAAGGGAAGTTCT